GCTGCGCCATTCAAACTTCAAAAAAAAAAAAATACTTTTCTCATGATATTCCTTGCCTCTTGAAGTCTAATCCAAAAAATTTCTCACGTGTTGTATCTCCCAATAGCATTAGCGATCACATTTCATTGTATGACGATGACCAACAGCCACTTCCTGATAGCGAAACCCGCATGCCTTTAACAGATATTTTGCTTCGATATTTACGAAGGAAGACTATTCCAACATACCCATTGTTCCTGGCCTTAAATATCAGCACCCGAGTGCGATTGATGTCTCCGCTGAAGGGATCGCTAACCTCATAGAAAACCTCAAGATCTCTACCAGTTCTGGAGTTGACGAACATTATTTTCAAAATATTCAAAAACGTGGTTCTAATTTCAAATCAAATTTTTTGTCGTATTTTTCAGCAGTCATTATCATCGGACTTATTACCCACCGACTGGCATATCGGAAAAGTCAACCCCATTTTCAAAAGCGGTAATAAACATTCCCCGCAAAACTACCGACCCGTATCGCTAACATGCATTTGTTGTATATTACTTGAGCACATTATCACCTCCCATATTTACACTCACCTCGAAAAAAATTTATTCTTTTCCTCGGCAACACTGTTTTAGAAAAAAGGTATCATATGACGTGCAACTGCTAGAATTCACGACTGGCTTGCACAATAACATGGATGCGAATCTTCAAACGGACTGTATTTTTGGGGATTTTTCTGAACCATGTGACTGCGTTGCACACTTATGCTTATTCTCGAAATTATCCGCTCTCTGTTTAGATTCTTTAACATTATCATGGCTTCATAACTTTCTTTCTTTCCATCAGCAGTTTGCATCAGTTAGCACTTTCACCTCCTCTCTTTTTGGGACATAACATCAGGCGTACCTCAGGCCAGTGTCCTTGACCCTTTACTGTTCCTTATATAGATTAACAATTTACCCACTGGCATATCTTCTAACCTACGTCTTTTCATGGATGATTGTATCCTTTATCGTTCAAATAAAAGTACTGGAGATCATTCAACCCTTCAAAATAACCTCACAATTATTACAAAGGGGTATGAAAGGTAGCAAATGAGACTTAACTTTAATAAATGCAAGGTTATCACTTTCAGCCGCTAGGGCATCAATTCCAATTTCTCATACCTAATAGATAGCACAGTAGTATCCCAGGTATCATCGTACAAATATTTAGGCATTCATTTCAAGCCTAATCTTTCATGGGACCTGCATATCAACTCCATTACTGTCAAGGCTTCCAGGTCACTTGGATACCTGTGCCAGAACTTGAGGAACTCTCCAAGAAATGTAAGACAACTCGCCTATGAAACCATTGTTTGTCCGCAGTTAGAATACGCTTCATCATTGTGGTCTCCTCATCAAATCTACCTAAGTAACAAGCTTGAGTCAGTACAAAACAGAGCTGCTCGTTTCATTACCTCCAACTACAGTCCCCATTCTTGTATAACGCAGATCAAACATGACATCACGCTTGTGCCATTAAATGTACGTCGTTCCATTGCTCTTTAATTATTGTTCCATAAATATTACTACAGCATCAGACCATCTCCCTTTCCATTGGAAGAGCCCACATGCATATCACGCCGCTTACATAATCTATATAGCATTAAACACATAAGTGGACGAACTAACGCTTCCAATTCATGAGCACATCCCCGAGCCATTGTTTTATGGAATGATCTTCTGGATGAAATTGCATCTAATAGTAATCATCGGGCATTTCTTGATCGGTTGCATAAACATTTTTTTAAATAGCATCATGTCACCATTTATTTTTTTTTGGAAAATCTTCCTGCACTTTTTTTTTGTTAGAATGTGCCAAGTGCATCATGTTTTCATTAAATAAAAATGCTATTGCTCTGTTTGAACATGCTTTGCACTGTATAGATATTATATATACGTACGTGTTTTTGGTTTCTTCAGTTTTTTTTCAGTGTATTTTTGCAGTGCATCATTTTTCTCTTATTTTACTGTACACTTTTTTTTTATTTTTTCTTATATTTACTGATGTATTTTTCTGTGTTTACTTTGCACTTGCCCCCCTTACTTAATGTCGTACCAGGCTCTATAAGGTGTGATGAATAGATAAATTTTTTGGCACCCAAAGTCGTAACTTTTGAATGATCCAATATTTTTCAATGAAACTTCCCATGCTTCGTATAAAACATCAGTCTATGCACTGAACTAGGATAATCGAGAACCATCAATAACTTTTAATGGTATAAGGTTTTGATTTAAATTCAATCATCTGAAGTTACTCTATTTTGGGTTTTTTGCCCATACTAGGCTTAATAGGGACAACAATGCAAATATTACAGTTCATTGCAGAGCCTGATAGCACAGCTACATCACTGCCAAGCGATTTTGTATGAGACATTCTGCAGTTATCACCATTGGTGTGATGGGAATATTTGGGTAATTTCCAAAATTAAAGTTATGATTAGTTGCATTTTTCTTCCCTAACAGGCTTGAAGTGTTTTCTTAAACAGCCCTTTATAGGGCAAACACAAAGTTATCAGTTTTGATCAAAGATTTCCAGAAAGGTGCCAACATACCGTGAACAAATATTAATGCAGCGGTTCATTTGTCCAATATAGACACATCTGTATGTATGAAAGCTGTAGACTACACTGCAAAAGCTGGGAAACCATTTTGTTTGACCACAGCGAACAAAAGGTTCTTGATAGGTGACCTATCAATCTTAATTATTATGTGTGCATTCAAATGAACCATTTTTTTTCGGGATGGAAATGCACCATATCATCGTACGACATTACTAAAGTTATGTGACACTTTTTGATAGTAAGGGATTGCAATATATCTTCTACGCTCCTGGTCTTTACTTTGATGTGAAGCAGTTGTGGTGGCACACTTAATCTTGTTTAATTTCTTGAAAGCTGCTGCTGTCACATAACTGAGATACCTAGGAGTAGTTAATCTTGTGTCTTGAGGTTCAACACTATTTGTTATCATGTGGACGCACGTGGGGCTGGGCTTCAAAATTTCACCATATAACTGCCTTGTGAAAATGAACTAAAATTTCTAGATATTTGTATTTTGATGTGACACATGCTGGCCCGTTTTTTCGATCCTGGGCCTTAAAAATGCCTTTGTATATACCTTCGGCTTTAGAGCTTTTTCTCACCTTCTGGTAAATTTAACTTGAACATTTAACTTGCAGTGTAGGTAGCCAATGAAAGTGTTATGTAAGCATGTGGCATTATTGTCATTGTTGAAACTAGGAAACCTTTAAAGAAACTTTCATGGTGCAGAGGTGCTACCTGCCAATATAACATGACAAGATACATTATCTGTATCTATGCACAATCAGCCCAAAGAATTTTGCATGTGGGTACAGTTATAGCTGCACGAATAGTTGCAAGCTGCATGAGATGAAACATGTTACATTCTGACAAAAATCACAGAACTTGTGCTGTGTGTGCACTAAGATGTCATTTTCATTGTCTTTTAGAGAAAAAAAAAATGGCAGGTGAAGTTAGCATTATAATTTTAGTGGCCATAGGGACAGACAGGCAAGAGCTGTGGAGTTCAGTTAATAGCTCAAGGCCATTAACTACGCACTCAACAGAGATCATTTTTTGATTGAGCTAATTATGATGATTAGATAAATCGCTCTTGCTTTCTCTTGATGGATTAAGTTTACAATAATGTCCTTGCCAAACCACCACTCACGGTACAACTTAGCCCGTTGTTACCACCTTGTCTAACTGCAAACACATACACCGAGTGCCTCATAAATGATGACTTTGGAATCGGTGTGTGTGGCCTGCCATAAACTTTTGCTTTGTGTGAATCGATGGCAGCATGTGGGATCATGTAAGCTTGCACACTGTACTAGAGGTTAATGTACTGATTACAATGCCCGGTAGGGGGTGGGACATGAAAGTCGAAGTTGTCATGTATTGGGGGGGGGGGGGGAGGCACAGAATAATTAGTTGTGAGTGTCCACATAAGAATGAACATAAGGTTCTGGTCACAATTCTCTTTTTTGATAAAAATTACTCTAGGTATAGCTGTTAGACCCTCAATAACGATTTAAAGTTAGTTGTGTGAAAAATAATTTTGTTCTAAAAAATACCTTTGCACTATTTCATCATTTCTGAACATTGAATGCACCTAGCAAAGAAATTGTGCACATCTTGCTCACAATAATTCTTTCCAACAAAGGACAAGGGAAATTCAATCTTATGAATATTTATTTCCCCTTGCTGTTAAAGGACTCTCGAGAGGGAAAAGTCACTAATATGGTGAACTCCACAAAATACCTATATTTCAGGAATTCATTCCTGTGGACAATTTAAAGTGTACGTAACAAAACTTGGTGGATATTGACTTCAGCATTTGTCTTTCTTTTAGATAATTATCATGGGTTTTCTATGCACTGTTTTGTTTTGAAACGAGTGAAACACTCATTATTTACAAATCATCGAAGTTTGAAAATGGTTTTATCGTGGCTATTCTTTTTTTCAATCTCGTTAATTGCAGTCAAAATTTTTCATGATTTTGTTCTAAAAATGTGCCATTATTTGATTTGCTAACAGGTTGTACTATGTCAAATGTGACCAACTAAGCCTCATGGCTGTGATGCCACTATCATGCTGCAAATTCACTTTAACCCCATAAAAATGCAGTTCAGGGGAATATGGGAGTTTGAAGAGATGGGAATTCGTGTACACAGAGTGTCTCTGGAGCCGACACATCAACAAGCAGACTTTTCTTCTTCAGTTGAAGCGTTGAAGAAGACAAGTTTGCTTGTCAGAACGACAGCTTTAGTGAGACCTTGTGTTCACAAATTTAAAGGATAAGTGGAGCGGGCTAGTTTGATTTTGATAAGTAGACGTATGTTCATGCTGTGACATGCTTTACATATGCGTATTCGGTGTGCACATGGTGCACGTGTATACTCTTGTAGAGATCACTGCATTCGAAACAACCTTTTTAAATATTTCCTTCTAGGTGCACAAGCCATATCGTACGGAGAAAATATATCCTGAACTCCGAGACTATAAAAGAAGGCTGTCTATCCCCAGAACTCCTTCACCATCGAGACGCAAGAAAGAGCCACCACTCCAGAACCAGAAGGCACTCTATTATTTTTGTATAATTTCTGTCATCTGTGCACTCATACTAGTTGTGCAGTACCGGTTCAGCGAACAGCCAGTGCATGTGTCATACGCTGATAAGCGCCTTGGAACATTGCGAGAACATCTTCGTAAGCTCAAAGACAATTTTGCAGCGCAGCCTGAATATAATTGGCAGATCATACGTAGCTCTGTTATGGATATGATTAATGACACTGGTGTTTATACAGGTCCAGCTGTAATCACGTTCCTCGCATCTGTTAAGAATGAACGTTTTGCAACATGTCTTTCTCAACAGGTAGCAACTGCGTTGTCGTACACTTTTGATGATGGTGGAGACTATGGAACTATTGCTGCTGACGAGTTGTCAGTGTCTGAAGATGTTGCAAGACACATTATTGAGAATCGTTGCAAAGAAGTGGTAGAGATGCGGCAACGGCACATTATAGTTGCGTCACACCTAGAACAGTGGAACCCTGATGCAGCAATGATGCTGCATCCCTTGTGTGACCAAGAAAATGCTTTGTACAAAAATGTGACATACATCCTAACAGTCTTCACAAGGCATGAAGATGTGTCTGGCCAAAGGGAGAGAAAAGAGTATGATCGTCTTGCTGAGAATGCACTTAACAATGCTTGGGAGTCTATGGACACTAACCAGCGGCATGCCATCATAAGTAGGGTGACTGGCAATGTTGTGTTAGTACGAGAAGACTCTTCATTATGTGTATCACCCAGCCAGAAAACTTTGCTGAAGCAAGTACCATTTCCGATCTGATGACTGTGATGACTTTTAAGCCTTGAATGAAATGTGAAAAGCTAGTGACATACAGAGGAACATCGGTGCGGCCTCTTTTGCTGCCGAGGAAAGTGCTCATAGTGAAATTCGGTAACATTTTTCACGCACATTTGAAGCAAGAAACACCCAAAAAACATTTTCCTGCATACCTGTTTAAATACTCCATGATAACATGCTATAATGATCTCCCCATTAATGTGAGTTACCAGCTGAAGGGTTGCATGGTGTAGTGGTGGCCATTTCGCAGGACATGAGAAAAAGTGATGCTTTTCATATTGGGGGCCGTCTTCCCATCCTCTCAGGTTGAAATTTTTGCATGGTGGCAGTTGCTGCATAAGCCTAATTTTGTGTGTTATTTTGCCAATTACAAATTTGGTAAACATACCTGCTGGCAAAAGCTGAATTTGTAGTCACAAGGACCTTATGGATAGTAGCATGCAAATGTTATGTTTTGACAATAACCAGCAGGTGAAAGTTGGCTAGGCTGTTTTATCCCCACAAATGTGAAGTGTTTCAATTTTACTTTTGTAAATTTGTACATATAAGACGTGATTAGCTAATGTAATTGCGGCAAATTGTGTTTAAGTGTGCAACTGATGCTGTTAATGTAGCCGGTGAGGTGCTGAATCGCTGTGCCATTTATTTGTACAAGCTGTGTCTAAGAAATATTATTGTTCAGTAAATAATGCAAACTGTTATTACAAGCACTCAAAGTTTGTCTCTTTCTTTTTTTTTTTAGCATTTTGCAGCTTTGTTCTTGCTTTGGCCATGTATATTTTGGTTTCTTGACAAGGTTCTTTGATTTCGGTGGGATGCTTTTAATACTGCATTATATGCTTTTGCAAAGGCACACTTCAATAAAAATAGTAACACCAGAATATAACCAGGTGTCGTACACTTTTGTGGGTACCAAGTATTGCATATTTTTAATGCACGTAGCCATTCGCTATAAAAGTTTGCTTTGGTTAAGTTGCTGCATTGCGAAGGATTCGGTGATAGTCGGCGATGAGTGAGCGCCCATCGCCATCTCATCCAGTACCGTTTCAATAGCTTGCATATCTCATTCACTGCAATTGCTTATTTATTTATTTTGTAATGATGATTGTAGTGGGTCATGCAAATCTCGGCACACACATTGTCAGTGCTAAGCACGAGACGCTCGGCCTGGACTGTCGCTGATTTTGCTAGCTAGGCCTACGCTCCTACCTGGTCTCGGATAACAGTTTTGACTGTCTCTGTTCTATATTATAATTGGTGGAGTTTGCGGGGTCTCCTTGCAATCCTGGAGTTGCGAAGCCGGACTGTACCTGCTGTCATGACCACTGCATCTGCCACAAGCCCTCCTCCTATGGCTTCCCAGGCCATTGTGTGCTCCGGCGCGGTCCGTCAGCGGGATCCTTCCATATTCAGCGGCACTGACGACCACGACGTCGACGACTGGCTGGCTACTTACGAACTCGTGAGTGTCTTGAACAAATGGGACGAAGCCACGAGACTGGCCACTGTCGGCATTTACCTCAGTGGCATTGCCAACTTATGGCTTCGGAACCATGAGACCGACGTTCCCACCTGGACAGCATTCAAAGCAAAGTTCAGCGAAGTCTTTGGTCGTCCTTCTGTCCGCAAACTTCGTGCGGAGCAGCGCCTTCAGTCGAGATCTCAACTGCCTGGTGAGAACTTTACAAGTTGCATAGAAGACGTCATTGACTTGTGCAAGCGCGTCGATGTGAACATGACAGAGGTGGACCGCATCAAGCATATTTTTAAGGGTATTGACGAGGACGCTTTCCAGATGCTCATTTCAAAAAGCCCTGCTACTGTCGCCCAAGTTACCGAGCTCTGCCAAAGCTATGATGAGCTCCGCCGGCAACGTCTCGTCACCCGCCGTGCTGTCCCACATCAGGAATCGATGTCCGGCTTAACTCCCTCGCAAGACCCCGTCCTCCTCTCGCAGATCAAAGATTTCGTGCGCGAAGAAGTTGCCCACCAACTCTCGCTCATCTCTGGCCTACCGGAGCGCAGTGCACCGCTTAGCCCTACTCTACGGACTATTATACGAGATCAAGTGTCTGAGGTCCTTCCTCCGCAGCTGGTGCCACCAGTCAATGCACCATTGACGTACGCCGAAGCAGCAGCACGACCACGACCACAGACGTTCCAAGCGCCGCCTCCACAGCCTGCTCCTGTTTATGCCGCCCAGCCGCCACGACCTCCAGTTCGCCGAGTCCCTAATCCATGGCGCACTGCCGACAACCGACCGATTTGCTTTTCGTGTGGTCTACCTGGGCACGTCGCACGTCTGTGCCGCCGCCGCCCACTCCACTCACGTGAAAACCTACGTCCATACGAGAACGATTACACGTACACTCAATACACCCCAGACCCCGAATTGTACGCTCCTCGTCCAAGCCACCGACCAGCTCCTGATCGCCGATCTCCTTCTCCACGTCGACGCTCGCCCTCCCCGATGCGCCGACACCCCCCTACAATCGACGCGGAAAACTAAATGACGCAGTTCCCGAGGCAAGAATTGCGTCCTCGTTGCAAAGCACAAGCCCTCTTCGTTTGCCGCCGAATGTAATTAATGCCGTTCTTGAAGGTGTACCCGTGCTTGCCCTTATTGATACTGGTGCCGCAATTTCTGTCATCGCCGAAAAAGTTTGCCGTTCAATTCGAAAAAGTGACAACGCCTTACTTGGGTTCATGTCTTCATACTGCCACTGCACAGCCTGTGCAGCCTGTGGCCGCGTGTACTGCCAGACTTGTAATTCAAGGAGTGCCCTACACAGTCCAGTTCGTAGTACTCCCGCACTGTTCTCATGACATCATTTTAGGTTGGGATTTTCTCTCCCATCACCAAGCCGTCATTGATTGCGCCCGTGCCGAAGTCGCCTTTTGTCCCCTTGGTGATGCGCTACCAGTGCACGATCGCCCTTCCGACGCGAAGTTGGTCATTAGTGACGACACCCAAATCCCTCCACGCGCTACTGTCTTCGCACCTGTGTCGTGTTCCACCGTCGTCGACGCTACCGCATTCTTCACGCCTTCCGCTGCTTTCGTTCATCGCCACCTATCACTGCTCCCAACCGCTCTCGTTACTCTTCAAGGTGGTGCGACCAACGTGCCTGTGGAGAATCCGTTCCCATTCACGATTACGCTACTTCGAGGCGAATGTATTGGTTCGATAGAATCATTCGAAACCATCGCTACACTTGACGTTCCTGATGAATCATCGGAAGTCAGCGCCCTCTCCTGTAGTTCCGTGAATGACCCTTCCACTACCGACATTTTCAACCGTGTCATCGACGAAGGCCTAAACCCACAACAGAGGTGTGAGCTTTTGAGCCTCCTTGACAAGTTTCGACCATCTTTTGACAGTCACAGCGCTACTTTAGGTCGCACATCTACCGTATGCCACCAGATCGACACAGGTAATCACCCACCACTACGGCAGCAACCATACCGTGTTTCGCCAACTGAACGCCGTATCATCGATGAACAAGTAGGTGACATGCTAAAGCGAGGCGTCGTTCAACTGTCAAACAGTCCTTGGGCGTCGCCAGTTGTTTTAGTTAAAAAGAAGGATGGCAATATACGCTTTTGCGTAGATTATCGTCGCCTAAACAAAATAACACGAAAGGATGTTTATCCTTTGCCTCGAATTGATGACGCCCTCGACTCTTTACAAGGCGCAGAGTTCTTTTCCTCCCTTGATCTACGCTCTGGGTACTGGCAAGTGCCCATGAATCCGGATGATAGGCCAAAAACTGCATTTGTTACACCAGACGGCTTATACGAATTTAACGTGATGCCATTCGGGCTATGCAATGCGCCGGCAACATTTGAGCGCATGATGGACACTATCCTACGAGGCCTCAAATGGAACACGTGTTTGTGCTACTTAGACGATGTAGTGGTATTCTCGCCCGGTTTTCCCACGCACCTTCGTCGCTTGGAACAGGTTCTACGCTGCGTCTCTGCAGCAGGCCTCCAACTCAACTTGAAGTGTCACTTTGGAGCGCACAAGCTGACCATTCTCGGACACGTCGTGTCGAAGAATGGCGTTCTTCCTGACCCCGCTAAGCTACGTGCTGTTCGCGAGTTCCCGAGGCCCGCGTCTCTCAAGCAGCTGCGTAGTTTCATTGGGCTTTGCTCATACTTCCGCCGCTTCGTCCGAGATTTCGCCTCGATCATGGCGCCTCTGACAGACCTACTTCAGGGAGACCGCAATCTATCTGCGGGGTCTCCAGCTTGCGACAGTGCCTTTGCGAAGCTCCGTGAACTGCTTACAACACCACCCATACTGCGTCATTTCGATTCAAGCGCTCCCACAGAAATCCACACAGATGCTAGCGGTGTCGGTCTTGGCGCTGTACTCGCCCAACGAAAGCCTGGTTACCAAGAATATGTTGTTGCGTACGCGAGCCGCACTCTTACAAGAACAGAAGCAAATTATTCGGTAACTGAGAAAGAATGCCTAGCGATTATCTGGGCCATTACAAAATTTCGGCCTTATCTGTACGGCCGCCCTTTCGATGTTGTTACCGACCACCACGCGCTCTGCTGGTTATCCTCCCTCAAAGATCCCTCAGGACGCTTGGCACGATGGGCTTTACGGCTCCAAGAGTACGACATCCGCGTCATTTATCGCTCAGGCCAGAAGCACGCCGATGCCGACGCTCTTTCGCGTTCGCCTGTTTCTACTGATATTGCGAGTGTCTCCATCCAAGACAACTTCCTTCCACTATCAGGATCAATCAACATGGCTGCGGAGCAGCGCAAAGATTCGTGGATTGCGTCTCTGATGGATTACCTATCTGAAACACTCGCCCACCCGCCATCTCGAGCGCTACACCGACAAGCCTCTCACTTCGCCATCCGTGATGGAATACTTTATCGCCGCAACTACCACCCTGACGGTCGCAAATGGCTACTCGTCATACCCAGGCATCTCCGCGCCAGCATATGTGCTGCTTTCCATGCCGATCCGCAGTGTGCGCACGCCGGTTTGTTTTAAACCTACGCCAGGCTACGTTTTCGGTTTTATTGGCGCGGCATGTACACATTCGTTCAAAAGTACATTCGATCTTGCACAGAGTGCCAACGCCGCAAGCACGATCCTAGCCGTCCTACTGCACCAATGCAGCCGTTACCGTGCCCAGTGCGACCATTCGACCGGGTTGGAATAGACCTTTATGGTCCTCTACCATATACATCAGCTGGGAATCGCTGGATTATTGTAGCGATCGACCATCTCACGAGATATGCAGAAACGGCCGCTCTACCAGCCGCGACGGCACGTGACGTTGCGTCTTTCCTGCTGCAATGTTTTGTTCTGCGTCATGGCGCTCCACGTGAACATTTGAGCGGCCGAGGCTGCGTCTTTCTCGCGGATGTTATTCGAGAACTTCTTGCAGAATGCCATGTAATTCACCGCTGTACTACCGCATATCGCCCACAAACAAATGGCTTGACCGAGCGTTTCAACCGTACTCTTGGCGACATGCTTTCTATGTATATCGCCTCCGACCACACCAACTGGGATCTTATCCTTTCTTACGTAACGTACGCTTACAACACGGCACCTCAAGCGACGACAGGCTTTTCTCCATTCTTTTTACTTTATGGTCGAGAACCATCATCTCCAATTGACACCATTCTCCCCTACCGACCCGACTCATCCGAAGGCACACCACTTTCCGAAGCCGCGCGGTATGCGGAAGAATGTCGGCAATTAGCTCGCACCCTTACAACACAAGAACAAGGGCTACAGAAATTTCGTCACTACGATGGATGGTCCAACTACCAATTTTCGCCCAACTCTCTTGTTTGGCTGTGGGTGCCCCCCAGTGCTGCTCCTGGTACCTCTACAAAGTTTG